AATAAGTGCAATAAATATTTATACTGGAAAAGAAAATCGTGAGAGAATCGTGATCTCAATTCTAAGCCAAAAAAATCGTGATTCTCATTTTATGCAAAATCGTGCAGCCCTAACGTCAAGGCAAGAATATATCTGCTGCTCGGTCTGTGGCTTTTTGTGATACTCGGGGAACACGGCGTTGTTTTTTGTAACCGTTTCCTTCGTTGGCGAGTTTCAAAAAAGGGTGGTTTTATTCTTGTCAACATGACGCTCTCATGACTCATCGAGTGACGCTACTGTCCAGCTAATCGGTGGCATGCAGTCTGACGATGTTACATTTTAGTACTGACTAAGAACCCTGGGCGAGCAGGTACTAAAAAAGTACTTGGTAACAGGTACTATAACCTAATGGAAAACCCTGATAACTGTTGTGAACCGTGCCAAGTCGATCCGAGTAGGTACTAATAGAAAAGGGGCTTAAGGCTAACACAAGCTAACAGTACCTAACTAAGGCTAACTACAGCTAACTTAAGGCTAAGGGTAGCTAAATAAATGAGGACACTTCTCACCCTGCATTGACAGCTGAGGTAAACAGTGGACTAACAGCGTTCCACAGAAAATTCTCGGGGAGATCCGTCTAGGTGCGGCTGTTATGGGGTAAACTCAAAATGTTTTTGATCTCTGTTAGCTGACATGTTAGCATGTTTGTCCTACAGAAGCTAACATAGCTAGAATTATGCACTTGAATTGGGCAGTGTAAGAAAACAGAACTCGGTTGACTGCAATCTGTAATCTACTGACATCTAGTGGTGAAAAATGTTACACACTGAAAGTTTAAGATTTGAAAGGTAATTCAAGCATGATTGTGTATGGCAATCTGTTAAATTACTGCAGGTGAAGGGACTTCTCAAACCTGATTTCTTTACATATTAGATTTAAAATGCTGATATTTGTGTTAAAATAATACGATCTCCACATTTTCATAGTCAGGGGATCTTTTTAAGTGAATCGATTAAACAATGGGTGTTCCAGTTATTAATTGTGCCTAGCAAACTGGCACGTGGGTGTAGCACAGGCTGTAAAAGGAGCTGCAGCTCACTCTGAGTCTCTTTGATGTTTTTAGACACTTGTAACCAGCTCTCTCACACACACTCACACACACAGATGCATGAGTGGAGTGCCAGCAGTGCACCTTGGCACTGAAACAGATTTCATGAAAACACACACACACACAAACTTCCTGCCAGTGTGTCAGGAGAGTTGATATTAGACGTAAGGATGTTGGGGATTACAGCTGATATGATGGCTTCACACACACACACAGTGCAAACACACAAACACTCAAATAGATAAGAAGGCAGATGACCCACTTGGCACCTTCTCGTACCTTCGTCTGTCTTACTATCGCGCTCACACA